TTCGCAAGTTAAACCCAAAGATTTCAAATAGAAATTCACAGTGTCAAAAGCATTCTGACCTGTTGTAGTTTTTCTGAGTTCTTTGCAACAGAATAATTGCTCTAATTATTTTTTCTGTGCTCATAAAGAGAGTGAACATGCCCTTAGAGCTGACATTTTCCAAGGGTCTAACAAAGTTGAGAACCACTGCTTTAGAGCATATACACAGATAAGTATTGTATAATATAGGTAAAATATTAGCTGTGAACACTTAAGTTATGATTAGAAACACATTTTAAAACCCACAACAAAAATATCCTGTACACTAAAATAACTAGGAAGTATTAATTTGCTTTTTCTCTTTTAGGACCAAATCCTGCCTTGAAATGTATATAACAGGAACTGCATGTATGCATCCAGGCAGGGTTTGGATTTTAATCTGCCAGAATCAAACATTTAAATAATGAGTAATTTTTAATATTATCCTGTCACAATTGGTATATTAAGTAGGCCTGCGCAAAGCGGCTAGTATTCGTATCAGATTCGGATTTGGCCGATTCAGAGGACAGTGATTCGGTTCGGTGATTCGAATCACTGTCCCAAATTGATTCAGTTGAATCTGATTTGGAGATTCGGCTGCTGCTAAATTGGGCAAATCTCCGAATCGGACAGGCTGCATCCCCTGCCTGCTCTCTCCCACCCACTCTCAATGGTTGCTCTGCCTGTTCTTTAAAAAAAAAAAAAAAAAAAAAAAAAAAAAAAAAAAAAAAGCCCCTGACTCACCCCATGCTGCATGGGGGGGCTCTACAACAAGCCCCCAGAAGCCTCGGCGGCTGGGAGAGAGGTCGGGGGGCACTCAGGGGATCTGGGGGAGTAGGCAGGGGATGGGGCCTGGTGGGGGTCCCCTCATGGTCCCCTCCCCCCTCCTTCAGCCACCACTCCTCTGCCCCCTACTTACCAGCACGGAGTCTGGGTCCAGCTCCTTGCAGCAGCGAGCGGGGACTGCCTGAATCTCTGAAGCTCTCTGAATCTTTTCTGAATTGATTTGGAGAACATCAAATCAATTTGGGCCTTTTTATTGGTCTCCTGATTTGATTCTGATTTGGAGATAGGGCTGCCAAATCTGGCCAAATATCCTCCAAATTGAATCAGCACCTGAAGCTTCGCACAGCCCTAATATTAAGATATCCCTGATGAAACGTCACAGTGATTTCAAAACGTATGTAAAAAGTAATGATGGAATCCAGGAAAACAATTAGGCATGTGCTGAATCATGGTTCAAGCACTGAAAATTTATTATTTTTGGGAAATATCAATAACAAATCTAACTTGACATTTAAACTTATTGAAGATCGTTTCAGACTGGACATATGGAAAAACTTCTTTACAAGTCAAGTGCCTAGGGTCTGGTACAGGCTCCCGCCAGAGGTGGTACCCACCCTGGCAATCTTCAAAAGGCATCTTGACACCCACCTTTTTGGGGTCATCTGACCCCAGCAGTCTTTCCTGCCCAAGTGCAGTGGGGCTGGACCTGATGATCTTGTAAGGTCCTTTCAAGCCCCTAACATCTATGAATTTTAGTGTAATAGTAAATGATAGCAATACCAGCTTCTATATGATACTTTTAACCTTAGGTTTTGAACTGTTTTACAAAGATTTAGTGTATCTCCATTTTATCACTGAGGCATGAGGAACAAGGAGTAACTTGCATAAAGTCACAGGCTAGAATATAGAACCCAGGTCTCATGAGCAACAGACTAGTGCTCTATCTATGAAGCCCCTCTGTCTCCCTAAGAATTGCCTTTCCATTAAATACAATCCTCTAACCAGTTAGAAAAGGCAAACAATAAGGGAAAATCCTTTCTTATGCTGGTAGGTTCTTAGCAGAGTGTGCAGGGGTAGGAGGTAGGTATTTTGTATTTTGGCCGTGACCTGCCATAATTTTTCCACTTCAGTTCCAAACCTCTCCTGTAGTATGTTCTTCTGGTAGTAATCATTATTCTAGTTTCTAAGCTGCAAACACATTTCCATTAAGTTTTAGATACTAAATCAGTTTTCAGTTGAGAGTGACAACTTTCATCCCAAACTAGGCTTTTAGGAGTAAAAGACTATTGTATTAACTGTTTTACTCAACCCTCAACACTGGGGCTTGTCATTAGTTTGTGACATCATTTTGCTTCTTCCTTTTGTATGACCAGGGGGAAAAATTGCAGATAGATGAACAGTTCCAGAACAGCACAGAAAATGTCTGCAACTGTGTTATGTACAAATGTGGTAAGTAGGAAAATAGTTTTGTTCAAAGATATGTCCCTTCAATTCCCATGGGCAGTTTTGTTAAGGTTGACAATACATTCACCTCTGAAGCATTGCTCTGAATTACAAATAAGCTAGGGAGACAAAACCCAGGAAAAGCAGTATAGTTGGCAGTACCCCTTACTAACCATATAGTTGAGTACAGTTTCCCCCTCCATAATAATACCCACAGCAGGAGAGCAAAGCGGGGAAATTGAGATATGGCCTGAAGGAAGTGGAAGATGCTGATGAAACAGTATGTTTCCCCTTATTGGGTCCATTCCTGCACAGTCCTCAGCACTATGACCCCACTCTGCCAAAGCATTAAAGTACCTGCTTAACTTAGAGTCCTGAGTACTCCCAGGGGATTGGCAGACATTCGCTTAATGGTGCAATGGTATCTTAGCCCTGATCCCAACAGTTGCATCTCCTGTCATGCACATGTGGCATGGCAGGAGGCATCACTGTTGGGATTGGGGATCAGATCCCAATTTTGTCGTTGCCAGCACAGAGCCTGGGGCACAAGGGGAGCTGATCAACTCCTGCCTGGCAGCTGCAAAACCAAGGGCTCCCCCATCAGGACCTGGGATCAGGGAACTTCTCCCTGATCCCTGGGGGTACCAGTGGATATCTAAAAACTGTGTGTGTAGCTTGGCTACAATTAAGTTTTTTTTAAAGGTTCTGGTGTGGCTAGGGCCTTCAAAAAAACCTGTGTGCAGCTAAAGCCCTGTGGAGCAAGGCAGTCAACCAGCTGGCTCACAGGGAGCCCTAGGGCTTTCTGCGACCTGGCATTTTAAATTGATTTTTCTGCAGGGGCTGCTGGGCAAGGCAGGGAAGGCTGCTGAGTGTGGGGGTTGCCAAATTCCCAGTGAGGGAGCCCCTGGGCTGCCCCTGCCAGGAAAATCTTGCAAGCCACTGCCCTGGCAGCCCATTTTCAGCATCTGGACCAGGACTGCCCTGTCCTGCCCCCATGGCAACATTGACAATCAGCTGATTGTCAGCATTTGGATAGGAAGTGCTACATGTTCAACTTGTGATGCCATATAAATGAGCTACAAAGATATTCTACATATTCTGTGGAATATCTGTATGCCTGGCTTGCCTCTTTGTGGTGCCATATATTGGCTGTACACTTAGCTATGTTGGTATTTATGGTGTGATTAACATGCTAATTGTGTCACAAATGTAATGTGTGCCCAGGGCCCTAGTGACCTATTATGAGGCCATGGAGGAGTTGCAAGTTAAGTGCATGCTTAAGGGCCTTGCAAAGTCAAGACTAGAAAGTTCAACACCATGACCTAAAGCATTCAGAAAAATGCAAATTGTAACTAAACAAATGTTGTAAACTACTGCTGGTTTGAGGAGCAGTCGTTTACATTCAGCGTCCACTCAGCCTCTTCTGCAGGGTTGCAGGTACGTGCCAGTCAGGGTGCAGCCAATGTCAGGTGTACAGGCCATGTTGCTATTCCTGCTCTAGGAGTCTAAAAAGACTGCATAAGCAAAGCACAGTTGTCCATATGAAACAGCAATCTACTGGATTGCCATGGTTGATTCCCATGGGTCTGCAATGTGCAAAATATCAAATGTTCTAGATAGGCCTCCACACTCTTATGCTGTGTCCTGGTAAGATTGTTCTTCAGAAATTCTCTTCCACCTACGCAGCTTTTAATGAGGTTACTTTTTACTCAGATATATCTGAACACAGGAACAGAAGGTCTTCTGCTTACCATCATTTGAAAGGTCCAACAAGTAGAATATTCTATCCTTGTCTATATTTTATGCATTGTTATGTTATGAACAACTTTGGGGCTATAATGTATCATAGAAGGAAGGCAGGGTAGATTTGCACCTTATGTGTAACCTTATACTTTGGTTAGTCTATAAGGTGCAAATTCTACCTTGTCTTCTTTTGATTTCAGACTAACATGACTAACTATGTCTTTGCTCTAATGTGTCTTCCCTACCACCAGGCTTCCCGACCACCATCACTATTGCTTAGGAACCCTTATCATGGATCAGGACCACATTATATTTTATATAATTAAACATAGTAAGGCTGTGGAACTGGATCCTCAGCTCTTATAAATTGGCATTGCTACATTGCTGTTGGTGGAACTATGCCGATTTCCTTCACATGAGGATCAGACCCCATGTGAAGTAATTCTTTCTAGGAGACATATATTGCTTTTTTATCCATGTTACATTCCATGAAGTATTTCATTTTACATAGTTGTAATCCAGAAGTGGTTCAACTGTGTATGTCATTCATTCTGTATTCTCTTGCAGTGAGAGATAAAGTGTGTCTGAGCAATGAGAGAGGTGTACTGCGTCCTGGCCAGACAATTATGGAATACACATCAGATGGCATTTGTTATACTTTTCATTGCACAGATCTGATTGATCCTTCTACCAGCTACTATTTGATAAATACTTCCTTGATAGACTGTGCAGTCAACTGTGAAGCTGTAAGATGTTTTGAATTTTAGACATTCATATGTTGCTTAGCAGTCTTAAATAATGTGTTTTTATTAGGTAGATTATATTTAAAACGCAAGATGATAAGATCCATTTTATGCTTTCTTTAATGATATACTGTAGCCTTTCTTATTAAAGCTGGGTATTTTGTTCATAGTAATGTTAGCCCAGTGCCAAATTCAGGCACCCAGTGGTATTTCTTCCTATTAATGTTAACAAGTTGGCCTTCTTTTATGTTGTTCATCCTAGGCCCATGCAGCACTTCACACTGCAGATTAACCACAAATCACTGCAGAAATAACCACATAATATAGGGAGCAAGGAAGCTGTGGCTATCCTAATCATGGAATAAGTGTGCAGCCTTACCTGAGAACAGTGACTGTCCATGTTTATCCCTGGAAAACATGGAGTATCCCTGCTGTAGATTATGACTGGGTGATCCTCCACTTTAGATCTGAACTTCTGGGTTCACAGCTGCTTATATAGTAATTTGTTTTGACACATTATAGATACAATTTGAAAAATGAGACCAGGATTGGGGCCTCTCTGAGTTCAGTGGCACTCCAAAATGAGTCCCATCTTTGGTTTTGAAACCTCCAGAATCAACATGCAACACTTAGGACTGTATCACATGTTACATGTAAGACATGATTAACCAGTTAATTACAACTTAAGTTGTGGAACTGACACATGTTCAATCTATTAGTGGCATGATAAAATGAAAAATAGGCCACAAAGTTATTCCCCCCAAAATATGTAATGACTGTGTCTGGTTCCTATCATGCCATTAATTGAACTTGTGCATGAGCTGATGTGGCTTCTGGCAATGGAAGCACATGGTACACCCCCCCATGGATGGCAGCCTGTAGTTGACCCAGGCTCCAAGCCATGGGGACAAACCATACTCCCATGCAGCTAGCAGTCCCATCAACTGACCTGAGCTCCCGACTGCAGGAGCACATGGTGTGATCCCATGGCTGGGAGTGCTGGTCAACTGAAGAAAATTTGAGCTGTGGGAATGCATGGTGCATTCCTGAAGTTGGGATCCCCATCAGCTGCCAGGGTTCCCAGCTGCAGGAGCTTGCTACTTGCCAGTTTAGGGGGAGCCCAGAACTGTGATACCAGGCTTCTCTCTGCACTGACAATAAGGTGTGATGGGATCTGGTGCATGATCCCAAAGTTGTGCCTCCTGCCATGAATTTGTGGTGTGGCAGGAAACGCGATTGTGTGGATCGCACATCAGATTCCACTGTGGCTTCACTTGCACATCTGGCTGGGGCCTTAGATGCTGCAGTGACTACAATATAAATCCTTAGAGAGTGCATAGAACCCTCCATTTCCATTTCACCCTCTATGATCTACACTTCAGCTCATGTGTGTGTACACAAAGGTAAAAACACCAACCAGAAGTCAGCCCCAAGTGAATAAAAACAAAAATCACCTGATTGGAAGTCCTGAAAAATGTTTTTTATAAAACAAAACAAAAACCTGTCACCTTGTTTCTCTACAAAGTACTGTGAATTAATCACAACTATGCCTTTTTGTGGATTAGTTTCCTGACTACATATTTACTCATGTGTGATATACTGGGATTCAGAAGTTCAGTGATGGTTGGGTTAATTTTCACACGTGATCTAAGAACTGTCAGGTGCCCAAGTCATCCCGCAAAATCAGAGCTGCTTCAATTGGCCAGCAATAAGAAATGAATCAATGTCAATAAAATCTCAGAAAGCTGAGTGCTTATTTAAATATTAACACCAACCTAACAAAAATCTAATTTATGCCACTAACATGATTCCAAGCTATTAAAAGCAATGATCAGTAACCTATATGAGAGGACTAACATGCTTGATTTTGGCAGAACCAAGTGTATGTGCCTCCAAAAGATTTAACAACCTGCTGTGGTAGCTGTAAGAATGTGTCTTGTCTCCACACTTTCAGCAATGGGACAGTCTCTAGTTTTAAGGTAAGTTATCTTGAAAAATATTGAGAAGTGACCCAAAATCTAACTGTTTATGCCTTGTCATAGCCCATCAGTGAATCCCTAGTTGATGTGAACAGATTATTATCTGATCTAAATTTTTAGAATATAATTGTGTTCTTCAAAAATTGTATCACCACTGTAGCAAGTGCTTTTGCATTAAGCTAAGATTGTGTTTAACTCAGATAGGATTGTGCTTTATTAAAAAAAGTGAAACTATCATTTTTCTGAAAGTAACATTTTTTCTAAAGCTCTGATGTGGATGCTGATGATGATGTTTTACAATTTTTGAACAGCCTGGTACTATTTGGATTTCGAACTGTGTCAGATATGAATGCACAAACACAGCAGTAGGACCGGTGTTAGTTACATCTTTGGTCAGCTGCCCACCATTTAATGAAACTGAATGTGTGAAGGTCAGTGTTTTATAGATTGTTTACTTTATTGTTTTGGTTGAAATCTTGACATTTCAAAGAGTTTTCAATCATCCCAAGGAGAGAAAACTAATAGTTTATTGGAGAACCTACCCATTAGCTCACGTCTTTGAAAAGAAAATGCTGATTACTACAAGCATACTTAACCACACTCACGCATGACCAGGAAGCCTCCTGAGCTACACAGCTGCTGAGGCTATTCCCCATCCTCAGAGAATATGTTCCCCTTTCAAGCATGCTTGTAATGTCAAATTTACTCTGATGCAGCTGTTCAAACCTGCATGCACTTTTGGGTTGGAGTACCTCTTTCTAACTGACTTGTTGTGCATAGCAACTGGGATTATCAGAACAATGGATAATTTAGGCTGAATATCAAGACAATTTTCTAGTTGGAAAATATATGAGGCTATGGAATAGTTTTGCAGTTGATGTGATGAAAGCTTCTTTGGTCTGAACTTGTAAAACTACACAGAGCCAAGTATCAGACCATATACTGTAGGAAACAATCCCATATTTTTCTCTTTAAATTCTGTGTTAGGGTGTAAATGGGAGTACACTTCCCTGGATGTATGATGTGATTAAAATGGGCCTCTTCATAAGGCATTTTTTAATGAGAGTAAACTCAAAATCGGATATTTTGACCAAGGACCCCACTGTGGAATCTAAATGACCACTGATCTGTCCTCATCTATATATCATAGATACCACTGTGCTCACTAGTGGTGACTGGTCTATGAACAGATTGTATAAACAGATGTAAATTAGGCTTTTAAAACCACGCCCAGGTTAACACGTTGTATCATCTCACCGATAGTCATGTGGATGCTTACAAAAGTACGTGAGGTTGGAATATGGATTTAAATCTCTGAGTTTACCTACAGTATGATTGGGATGAGGGAGCTAATACTAAGAAATGATTAATGTGTTTTTGTTCTTTTTTATTCAGGTTGGAGGTTATGTTGTACCCTTTCTTGAGGGATGCTGCAAAACATGTGAGTGATTAATGAAACTTCAGGGCTAGGGACAGACATTAAAAAAGCTTGAGCTTGAATTGATTCAATCTTTGCAGGTTAGTCTAACCTGCAAAGCTTGAACCAGTTTGGAGGTGGATAGACATTCCCTTTTCATTCTAGAAATGCAGGCACATGCCTGCAATGACTGAGGCTAGAAGATGGGGAGCGCTAGAGCAGCCCTTCCTCCTCTTCCACAGTGCTGAGCTGAGGGGGGGTGTGGCCAGGACACTGATTAGGGACCAGTTTTAACCCCCACCCTGGCCTGCTGTCCCAGACTTTCCCCAGCTCGCTGCTTAAGGGGCTGGAGTGTTGCCAGATCCTGCATCTGTTGGTACTGAGCTTTTCAATCTCCATCTCCCTGCTTCTTCAGACTGTCTGCAAACTAGGTCATTTCTAACACTTTTCTCTGCCCCATCTTGAAGAATGACAGATTGTACCTGGCAGGTTGTTTGTCAGAACAAAGTTTGTCAGCCCATCAAGCTCTACAAAAGAAAACATCTCTCTCATTAGTTTCAAGCTCTTCTTATCTGCAGAGTGCATTTACATTTGCAAGCCACAAGCTTTCTGCCCTTTGTTTCAATGAAATTGGAGACCCACACAGACACCTCTCAGCATTAGCTAGGATGGGGGCAGGGCATGGTCAGATGCCTGGTTCCTGTGCTGGGGTCCATGCTGTGGGAGAGGGGCGGGAGGGGGGAACCCTGCTTGAGCAGCCAGCGGGGAGGGGGAAGCCTGGCAGCTACTGCAGTCCCTCAGCCAGCCAGAGCAGTGATAGTGTTCTGGCTAGGAAGGAGAGGGGAGGGGCCAACCGAGCTCTGCTCCAGCAGACAGCCCCACAAACCATCTGGGATGCTGGGGGACTCTGGTTTAACTTAAACCAGGAGGTGGTCTGGGACAGACATTGCATAAACTGGTTTAACTGATCTGGGTTAAGTCTAATACTACATTCAACCAGGTTTATCTCAAACTGGTTTCAGCCATTTACAAACTGGTGCACTGAACATCTGTTCTGTTACAGGTTTAACTAGTTTCTGATCACTTAAACCATTTATGCGTAATGTCTGTCCCTAGCCCGTGAATCAGAAATGTCCAACTAGAAATATTGGTATAATAGGAGTAAGATAGGCTTACTATTGTATGAAGGCTTGGTTCTGGCTTCATTTGCTCTAGGAGAAAGAATTGTATTTACTAATACAATTCCAGAGTATTTTCATCGGAACAAAGGGACTTAGATTGGAGAAGTCCGGGTGGAAAAAGGGAACTGGTGCAAGATCAGAACCTAGCCCTCTAGTAGAAGCTAATGTTTTACTTCCGCAGTCCAGTGCACCAAGCCATTGGTTTAGTAACATTACTGTGGGCTCAGATGAGACCTGAATTGGCTTTACAACAGTGAATTGCATGAAATACATCCAAATTAACCAGCAAATGGGTGGTGGTGTTGGTTTTTTTAATTTTAACTTGATTCTGTTTTTGACTCCTTAAAATTAGTTCTAGCTCTTCAAGTATTAGGCCCCTGGAAGACATTAATATAATGGCATGATTAGTGCGATGGTCCCAGTTTGAGACTCAGGTTGGTCCCCTGCCTCATCCCGGGGATTGGGGTCCCAGACCTGGGGGCTATTCTCTGCCCAGTCCCAAAGATCAGGTGATTGCCAGCGTGGGTCAGGGAGTGGCTCTGTCTCAAACTTCAAAGCTTCTCCTGCTTGATCCTGGGGATCAGGCAGGGGGCAGCTGTTTCCCAGAACCTGGGGTTGATCTAATAATCTAATAATCATTTGATCTTCAGGATCCAGCACACATGCCACAGATTCAATTAATGACATGAGAAAGATGTTGTACATTAAATATGGAACACCTTTGTGGCTGGTTTGCCATTTTATCATGCCAAATATTGACTGAATATTGGGCATATTACAATTTATAACACAATTAGCACATTAATCATGTGATAAATATAATATCTGCAAGGACCCTGAGATTTATTTTGTGTCCCAGTGAATTGATAACATCACTTGCATTTTTAAAAACAAGTTGTAAACTAAATCCTCATATCAGTAAAAAAAAAACAACTTTAAAATAATATGTTTATGCAGAAAAATACATTTAAAATCACTTAATCATCAATCATATGCAAATGACTAAAGCAAAACAGAGATAAAAGGGCCAGATGCTGTAGAGATGATCTGACTGTGGGAGGTAGCATGGTTTGAGAGACTGAGGTAGGACTGTGCCCAGCTCTGCTAGGAAAGTCAGTGCAAGATTCTGCCAACTTGCAGTGGCAGGTTGACATGCACAGGTAGCTCTGCTGAAATTAATTGAGTTACTCATGGAGTGAGAGATTGTTGTCAGTGACATAACATGGCAGTTCAGTGCCTAGTGCAGCAGTGATGCACAAGGCAACAGTGGCAGTCAGGTTGCTGGCATTGCCAACTGGCCAGCAGCTGCAACAGCTGCTATTTTTGTACTCACCTCTAAGTTGGTGCTCAGGGCTGCTGCCCCAGTCACCCCCCTTAAACCCCTGCCTGATGTGGAGGTAAAGGTGCGATAGGATCTGATGTGCAATCCATACAACCACACTTCCTGCATGGCAGGAGGCATGACTGTGGCATGAAGCATCAGATCCCATCACACCTTACTGTTGGTGGGGAAGCCCAGGATCATGATAATGGAGCTTGCAGCTGTGGGGGTGCACAATGAATTCCCACAGCTGGGATTCCCAACTGTGGGAGCACATGATGCACCCCTGTGGCTGTGAGCCCATCAGCTGACAGGACTCCCAACAGCAGGAGCTGTGGGGGTATATGGTGTACCCCTGTGGCTGGAAGCACCATCAGCTGATGAGACTCCCAGCCAATGGGACACACCTGGCTAGACTTGCAATTAACGTTGTCTTAGGAACCAAACACAAAGTTATTGCACTTTTTTGTGGAGTAACTTTGTAGCTTTTTCCTTGTTTCATGCCACCTTTAATTGCTTTAATGCATGGCCAGGTGACAACTTAAAGACATGACCAACTGGTTAATCACATCTTAAGTGTAACTTGTAATAGGGGCTTTAGTTACACTACTGATCTACTGATTGTACAATTGACCCTGAGCAAGAGTTGCAAAGAAATAGCCTTTGTCGTCTTAATCACAATCTTCTCATCTCTAATAACGGAGATAATTCTCTATGAGTGGTGTTGAAGATCACAGTACATGACAATTTTAAATAATAATTTAGATAGTCAAAAGAGTAATGTACATATAGTATTTTGTGCACACACAGACTAAGGAAGGATTACAAAATATAATATTCTTATAGGAGTATATTATTAGGTCACTGAACTTTAACCAGAGGGAATAAAAGACCTCATTTTACTATAGACTCTTTCATTATTTTATTATACTTTCCAGGGAACTGGGGAACTTTAATGAACCAACTGAAACACTTTACTGTTCAAAATAGAGATAAAACTCATGTTAGTGATGTCTAAGACAGGAACATCTCTTTGTACCATTGGCTAAAGTTTTAAGGGACATAGGATATCTCACAATAAACATGAATATGTTTCCTTCAAAATATATAAGCATTGTTCAAAATGCTTTAGGGGTTTTTTTTTAAGTCTTCTTAAACATTTTATCTCTTCCTTTATTTATTTCATCATTTTAATGAAGGGTTATTATTTGAGAAGGCAGAGACTTGCTGGTGAAAACAGGAAAAATCTGGTGACTTGGTATTTTATAAGATATTGGTTAAATACAGTTTATTCTAGCCTTGACTCCAGTGAAAAAAGGATTTGCTTTCAATCTTTTCAACAGACAGATTCCATGTAATGACAAAATTGGCTCACATGTTCCCCATGGATCACCATATTTGAGAGTCATTGTTTCTTCTTTCATAAATATGCAAAATTACACAATATAAACTAATAATACTGCAGATATATTATGAATAATCCCATTAGAAACTCCACTTGATATAAGAGATACAAATTTCCCAGGCCTCTACATAAGCAGGTGGCATAATGGTCTAAGCAGCTCTGAAGATCATTGGTGAAGGTGGATGAAGCTTCCATATACTCACTCCATAGATGAGAGAGACAGAGGTCTTTATGCTCTAGGGCTGGAGATTTTCTTTCTTACTTTAGCAACTGTCCACATGCAGTCTTCCTCTCTTCTTGCACTGGGGTGACCAGCTGCCGTACCAGCTACAAGAAAAGATGGGTAGCCAGCATGAGTGTTTCTCATGATTTTATTTAAGAATTACTTTTGGGGCATAGGGGTGATTGAGGCTCATGGAAGGGAACTATATATATTTCTCCCCTACCTGTGATAAGTAGGGGAAGATAACCAAGCATTTTAGGGTCTTTTGTCGAGATTGGTCATTATTCTTTCTGTACCTGAACTCTTTCAAACACTTGTTCCTACTTCTGAAGCCCATGTTCTTCTTAGCTAAGTATTCTGTTAAGTCTTCCCAGCTCCCCACCCTCCTCTGATATGATTCTTTAGTGTCCTTGTCCTTCTATAAGTCAGGGACTAGACAAACTGTCCCTTCAGGACAACAAAAAATCATATTACTCTTTGTCTGTAAAGTAAAATAAAATAAACTATAAAAATTAGAAACAAAAAGCCAAAATTCAAACTTTTTTTTAGTTTATGCAAAATTAATTGTGGGTATGATATTGCAAAAAAGGATGCAACCAGTAAGTAATTAAATGATATTTGAATTGTTCATATACAATGTGAAATATATTTGCATATTTTTCAGGAGATAAAAATAAATATATAATTAAGATGCCATATATATCTGTTTATAGTTCAGACACTTACTGCATGAATCACGCACCCCAATTTGAATACAAACAATTGTAGTGATCAATAATTAGTGCATAGAAATATGTTCTGAATAAGGCCACAAGTATCTTTTCTTTATTTGAAATGCCCTATAGTAAGAAGCCACTGTGATTTTCTCTTTGAACTTTGTACTCAAACTGTAAAGTACTGCTCAGTAATGAAATTTGCAGGAATTACACAAAAAGACTTGGGTATTTGCAAAAACAATACTTCCAACACAGAATTAGGCCCAGCACAAATTTATGGGCCTGGATTTACCTCTCATTTATAACTTTGGAAATCAGAAATAATTTATTACCAATGAACTGCAAATCAAGGAAAAACTAGTGTAATTAGGATGGAATAGGCCATGATTATACTATAGCATTCCAACCAATTTGTATGAGTTTTGCCTGTCCTTACTATCATTTTCTAGTAATTTTATATATTTTATATTTAATATATAAGTGTTTCAAGGGTAATGCAATGGAATTTTCAGTTGATTTCCTCTTTTAAATTTCTGTTTTGAAAGAGGCCTCAGTCTAACTATAAAATGTTTAATACTGATAGAGAGACTCTCTTGTTTCATGTGTAACATGTTCAATCTGTAATATTCTTACCAGGTTCTGGAATGTCATTGTTGCTCCCATTCCCTGTTAATCCAGTCACTCCTACAGCTAGTGCTAACTGTAACACAGGTACATTTTCTTGGAAATCAGTAGGAACAAGTCAACTAGCATCATTGTTGATTTCCAACAACGTACTCCCTGATAGGAGCATCAGGTCTCACGTCATCAAATCATGTTCAAAAGCTTCAATGTAGTATTAATTGCTCATTGTTCAGAATGGCTCATGTTTCTTTTTCATTGTGCACTCTATGGGCAGTGCATTGTTGTTAACCAACAATGTACTGTTGGTAGTAAGCGTTTGCATAGTATTTAGTTTTCTGCATGTGTAGAATATAGAGACTAATTGCTTTGCTTTTTAAAGCTTATTGTTAATAACACTTTAGCGCTGTTGTGTATAGATAGATAGTTCTGCTTTCAACAGCATTTGTGAAAGAAGCATCTCATTTTCAAGCCTTTCAAAACCCAAAATATATGCTGAAAGTCACTCACATGAATTTATATCATATTCACGGGAGATGAACTATAACAAAGATTAATCATAGTTCTTTGCCTTACAACGTATGGTATAAATGCAGTCTTTTCTTGTATTAATTTTATGGAAGTATGATAGGACCTTAGTGCACAGCAGATGATGTAAGTATATACATAGTAATCACTGGGTGTGTCTGCATGAGATGTTTACTGCACAATTGACTAATTAGCTGCACAGTAAACATCTTGACATTTATACATGCACCCCATTAAACCAGGGTAGATTAAATCTATGCTGCAGCAGAATAGTACTATACTATACTATACTATACTATACTATACTATACTATACTATACACTTGAAAGTACAAGTAGTGTTCTGCTGTGGAGTAAAAAAAACTCTGCAGCAGCACACATGTAGATGCTGCTCTGGCTGGCCAGGCACAGGTGTGCTTCAGTGCGGGGACTGCCTGCCAGCTAGTTCCTCGCTAAAGCACCTTCATGCCCCAGCCAGCCCCTCAGCAGCACTTTGAGTTGGGAGGAGCAGCCCCAGGCTGGCAGACTGAGCTCAACATGCTGCACTTCGAGCAATAAACTCTGGAGCAATAATAGTACTAATAGGCATGTGTAGATGCACCCACTGAAAGGCAAATTCTCTTTTAATTTACATGGGTGGAAACCTGAAAAAAATCCATTGAAATCTGCATTGTTACTCAAGTCCCTACTGCCAGTGTAATTTAAAGCAGAATTTGGACATTAATGCTTTTGTACCAGCTGTCTATGGAAGGTGCCCAAACAATGAGAAAATTCTGCTTCAACAAAACAGAATGTACAAAAAAAATAATTACATTCAGCTCCTGACATTAATGTGATATGCTGCCACTCACATTAATGACATGCGTGTTAATGTCATATTCTGTATATAGCATAAGTATAGCATATTTTCCAAGACAAAAATATGTATGCCAAGATATGAGCATTACTGAAGTCACTTGACAAGAAAACATTTTCATGTAAATATACTGCATGTAGGACTTTTTTTCTTGAAATGACACACTTGCACATTAGTAAGCACGAAGTATAACTACACCTGAAGACTTCCCCATATCATGAATCATATACAATGTAGCAACAGAAGCAAAGTGGAACAGGGCTTTTCATTCTGGGATACGATGCGTTTGGCCAGGAGTTACTTCTCTGGAAAAATAAACAAGAAATGTGGTAAGATATATTTTTAAATTTGTTTAATCTTTTCTTTGTTTGTTGCCTTTGCTTGCCCTTGGAGTCATTTTGCCAAAAACTTAAAATTTGCTCTTCATTGGGCATGTCTACATGTGTTTTTGTGTGCCTAAACTTAATTATAATTTTCCTAATATACATTAAGGCAATTTAGGCACGTGTCTACATGTACACACGCTAAGGTGCATTAATATAGTGTGTGGACTGACTTGAGATTAAAGTTAGTCCCAAATCAGTCGACATACACAGCATTAATAAGCTTTAGCGAGTCTACATGTGCGTTAAGGTACTTTAGCTATTCACGCCTAAATTTGATACCTGCTTTTGCCGGTATCACATTTAGGCACATTAAGGGTGTACATGTGTAGACCTGCAACCTTACTGTGCCTTAAAAATGGCTAATGCGCCTTAAATCAGCACATGTAGACGTGCCCTTAAAGAAGCAGAATTTTCCGACACCGGTAGCAGGGGACTGGGCATACTGCTACTTTGGTTTTAGGGAAAACAATTTGACTTCCATTGCCTTTGTTTCTCTGGGTCTAATAATATCTGTAAGTTAGTTTTGTGCATTGCAACTCTGATGGTCCCAAAAATATATGAGAAGCAAGGATTTTTGTGAACTCTTTTATTGGACTATATGGTTGAGAGAGCTGATGGACAAGCTTTCATGCATCAATTGGTTGTCCAGTGGCTTATTTCCTGAAAGCTTAACTCACCAACTATACAGTTGGTCTAATAAAAGGTATCAAAACATTCCTTGCTTCTTGTATCTTTTGTAAGCAACTTTGAACTTGTAGGAAGAAAAGTTATACTGATGTATAAGTGGACAGTTTTGGGAAGCCCTAATGAAATAGACTTTTGGTTTCTCTTATAGATCTTCATCACAATGTGGTTTCTCCAGCAGGAAGAGGATCCTTTCTTTCACTAGAAGACTTTATTCTTTGCCTTCTGTAATCACCTCTTCATTTTGTCTATCTTAAATATCCTTCAATATTCAGTATTGTTCCCTTAAATTAAATGTAACCCTCCCTTTTTATTAAAAAAAAATACAGAATTTATATTTTATTCATATGCTATGTATCTGCTTTTTTGAACAATTTTTATAAGAGTACTAATAAAATTAGAATGAAACGTTTTTCCTGATATATTTTTCTCTCTGTATGCAACAAAGATGCAAAACTCCCCATAACAATAGGTAGCTGGCAAGTCTTAATATCATGATCTGTCTTGATGAAATATAACCACTTGATAATTTAATGCAGGAAATTAATTTGAATATACAACCAACAGGTGTTTCCCAGGAATGGTTATTTAAGTTCAGCTTCTTTTTTTAACATAGATAAACATTTTCAGGGTGACAGGTTTTGCTGTAGTTCAAGTTATGTGGATGTCCCCCTTAAATGTTTGCCTAGATTAAACAATTTAGAAATATAATTGACTATATGAGAAGATAGCAAATATTGTCATTATTGCGTGAAATACACAGAAAACTTCACAAGACAGAATTGAAATGCAATCAACTGTTTATAGCTTTGTCAAAAAAGTTTTGCTTTACACGGGGGTATTCCATTTATTTTCTTCCTTTGTATCTCTTTTCTCCATAAAACATGTTGGAACAGTGTCATTTTCTGAAGTGTTTAGAATTTACAGCTGATATTTTTTTCAATTAATGCATGCTTTGCAGGCAAGGAAGATGGGAAATTCTGTAAAAAGGTGACTGTTCGGATGACTATCCGCAAGAATGACTGCAGAAGTAATACACCAGTAAGTAAATAACTGTTGTCAATTCTTATCATGAAAGGAGGGGAAAAAACTAAGATAAATGAAGAGAGAAAAACGTTTCATTGTTACTGGGTGCATCTACATGTGTGCTTAACTGTGCAGTAGACTAATTTGCTGCAGTGTAAAGTTTCAAAGTTTTATGTGCAATTCTATTAGATCACAGCAAACTCATTTTTGCTGCTATAAAACACTACTATTGGGGCACTACTATCTTATGGTGGCAAAAATAACTGCACGTAAATGCATGTGTAAACACTGACCTGGGCATACGTTGTACCCAGGCAGCTGGGGGCCAGACCCCTTCCTGCCACTTAGCCACATGGCTCTGCTCTTTGGGCACTCTTGTGCCCCAGTCAGTAGGGCTGTGCGAAGCTTCAGTTGCTGATTTGATTCAGAGGAGATCCGGCCTGATTTGGTGGCCGAATCTCTAAACCTGAATTGAATCAGGAAACCAATAAAAAGGTCTGAATCAGTTTGAAGACTCTGAATAGATTCAGAGAAGATTCAGAGATTTGGGCAGTCCCTGCTTGCTGCCACAGGGAGCTGGACTCAGGCTCCGTGCTGGTAAGTAGGGAGCAGGGGAAAGAAGGGCTGGAGGAGGGGACCATGGGGGGAATTGCACCAGCCCCCATCCCCTACCTGCTTCCCCAGCCCCCCGAGCACCTCCCGCCTGCTCTCCCAGCCCTGTCAATGGCTGCCCCGCCTGGCCCCAGCATCCCAGCATTTAAAAAAAAAAAGAAAAAGAAAAAAACAAAAAAGCCCTGCACTCACTGGATGCTGCAGCGGCCATTGGGGTCTCTAGGGGCTCATGGCAAAGCCCCCCCATGCAGTGGGGGGCAGCAGGGATCACTCCCACCTGGCAGGAGCCAGTGAGTGCAGGGCTTTTTCTTTTTTTTTTTCAAGTGCTGGGATGCTGGGGCCAGGGTGGAGCAGCCATTGACGGGGTTGGGAAAGCAGACAGGGAAATGGGGCCTGTTCAATTTGGAGATTCGACCAGTTCGGTGGCAGTCAAATCTCCCAATCAGATTCATCCAAATCAATTTGGGACAGTGATTCAAATCACCTAATCGAATCACTGTCCCCTGAATTGGCCGAATCCAAAGTGAATACTAGCCACTTTGTACAGGCCTACCAGTCAGCCTCTCCACTGCCTGATGCCACCTCCTGAGGCCTGGGCTGACCCCTGTGCGTGCTGCCAGCATGATGAATACTTGAAGCTCAAGTGTAGAATTCCTTTTGTTGGAAATGGGTATACTACAGTGCAGTCCTGTGCAGAGAAACCTGAGCTAGGTATGGATACAGAAGCAGTATAGCTGTGTCAGCATGGGCCTCTACCTATCCTAGTTAGCTCTGCTGAGAAGCAGGGTATATTATATCTATTGGGCTAAGGCTGCTACACTGATTTTTGTACCTAACCTAGCATGTTCTGGCTTGTGTATCACTACACAACACTGCATTGTTCAGTGTAGGCACACCCTAAACAATCAAATCCTAGTCTCATTTGAATTCAAGGGAAGAGTTCTCATTAACCTTAGTGAGATCAAATTTAGGCCTAGCTAGGAATGTCATTGAGAGCTAACCCCTCACCCCCCCCCCCCCGCTTTCCCCTCCTGAATCGGAGATTTTCAAAGGGGCCTAATATAGTTGGCCATCTAGTTTCAAGTGAATTTCATTGAGATCTGAGTGCCACACTTATAGACCTCTTTAAAAACCTTAAATCTAGGTCTTTTAATTTCAATGTAGTGGAAGGCAGGGTAGATTTGTACCTTACCAACTAACTATATTAGACATACATATAACACAGGCTTTTGTAAGATGAACCTCGCTTTATCAGGTGCTGTGAAAGGATATGTACAAACTTGCGTATAAAATGGAGAGAATGACTTGAATACAAAGGTAGAAAGGGAGGGGAAGCATGGAGGGATCCAGTGCTGGGAGAGGCAACAAGCAAGGAAACAATATGAACAAAGGATCACAAAAGCTAAGCCAGGTAATGGTATAAGAATCCGTTGTCGCTGTTTAAACTATACTTGATACAGTCCAGCATGTGGATCATTTCTTGTTCTGCAATTTCCCATTCAAATTGGGTTTTAGAGGTTGACTGTCTAAGAACAGCTACCCTGAGGTCAGTGAGGGAATAGCCAGGTAAATTAAAGTGTTCTGCCACAGGCTTGTGTGTCGTCATGGAGTTGACATCAGTTCAGTGTTCATTCATTCTTTCAGGTAGAGATTGCTTTGTCTGTCCACTGCAGGCAACAGAGGGTCACAGTGAGCAGGTGATGGCATATGACATGGGCAGAGGTGCAGGTTAATTAATCTCAGATGTTATCATCTGTGTTAATTTGGTCTAGTGATCATATGTTCCATAAATTTAAATGTGACCATTCTTCCTATTTATTACCAGGTGAACATTGTTTCATGTGATGGAAAATGCCCTTCTGCTAGCATTTATAACTACAACATCAACACATATGCAAGGTTCTGCAAATGCTGCAGGGAACTTGGGCTACAAAGGCGAACTGTGCAATTATACTGCAGTGGCAACTCCACCTGGGTCAGCTATGGAATCCAGGAACCTACAGACTGTTCTTGCCAATGGTCCTGAAACAACGTTAAAGAAGCCAGTGAGCCCAATTTTGGAAAATAATCAGTTATTCCCAGTATAATAAAGATGTTTTACATGTCTTATCCTTAGAAAATACACTTGCCCAATTCTCTGAATTTTATCATTGTTCTATCTATATATAGATATATACTATATCTATATATAAATATATTTATATATCTCTATATAGATATAAAAGAAAAGTATGCATTTTGGATTATCTTAAGTTTCTAAAGAATAGCTTTGCATCATCCATTTTTAAATTGTCTTAATGTTAACTCTTGAGATAACTCCTCAGAAGTGATTGTGATAAGTGCCAACGTAAAAAGGAAAGTTATTTCCTTTAAGAGAGACATTAAGAGGAATAATGTTTTATATTTTATTTCTGGAGGTTTAATCCATTCTTTGTCAGTCACCCATTACTGTCTTATGTATCTCATACATATGTTGATCAGGCAGTAGTTTAATATTTTTAATGCATTGCAGTAATGAAAGCATATTGGATGCCTTGGAAGGGAGAGTGTTTGGAAAATGTTAGAAGGATATTCATTTTAAATTGCATTGCTATTGCAAAATGTGGCACCGTGAGAAATTAAATTATAGACCTTTTTATCAGGAAAACATTTTCAATATTGCTAAGTGTATATAATTTTCCCTGATAATAAGTATGCTTTTTCTAATGTATTTTACATCATAGACTGAAAGCATTATGTCAAATATGTAGTGTATAGGAGAGATACATTTTTAGTTCATCTAAATTAGTTAATGGTAGATGTATCCAACATATAAATAGTATGACATAACCTGAAAACATAAACATTTTACTAAATGAAAACATTTCTGCCATTATAGAGATGCATTTTATATAAGAATTAAAATATTTGCCTTTTAAAGTGCACCAGATTTGAAGTGACACTTGTACTGGTTCTATAGATTTGAAGTGACACTTGTACTGGTTCTTTAGGGGAATTAATTTTACATTTAACCTTAATTTTAAAAATGTTTGGAGTGATATTGATCAGGAAAAGGAGGAACATTCCATTTGCTTTTATGTACATTTTAAAAAGAGAAACTGTAAATGAGAAGTCTTTGTAACTAAGGTAATGTCAGTGTGTGAAAAGTAATTTTGTTTGTGATCTTGCAACCAACAACTAATAAATTGATATAAAGAAACTAATTTTTTGTTAGTACAAAAAGGCAAGCAAATAAACAAGCAAACAAAAAAACCCATGCCCAAAATTGTTGCCGTCTAAAGCCAGTAAAATTTCAATGTCTTTAATTTTAAGATATAAAGCTACCAGTAGCATGTGATTTTTAAATTTAGGGACCTAAAATGTAGAAGTCTAGCATAGCATTATAAAGTGTAGAAAAGATACTTCAGTGCAGAAAATCCAAAGAAGAAGTTTTGTTAAAATTAAATTCACATGAAGTCTTTGTTATTAATTTTTTATACACTGTACATGTCATTCTTACAACTTCTAATAAACAACAGGAAGACTTATTTTGTTACAACTAATTTGCTATCAGTGTTAAAACTGCTTACCTTTACAGGATTTAACATACAGTAACATTTTTTCAGAAGCATCCAGTGGTTATTTTGGTTTTTTATTATACTTAGCATTAGTTTCTTAAGAATTTAATGATTCTAAGGAATCTTAATACTGTGCTGTAGAAGAACTTTATAAAAATGCTAAATTTTGAAAAATACTTTAATGTAACAGATTTAATTTTGTTCTGAGCCATTCACATATATTTTCATCTACAAAAATACAAATTTAAAAAAAATCACATTTTACTCAAAATAAAATAACAAAAGAAATCCTTGTTTGTCAACAATATCATGAGCGGTCTTATTCCTTGATTCTAACCACTAGCCAGTTCTTTATCTTAGAAAGAAAGCTATCTGGACCCATTTCTCAGTTGTTTCCCCAGAAATGATTTATTCCCATACTGTGAAACAATATTGACTACAATGAGAATACTCTACTCCAAGCAAACAACACAATATTCTTACCATGCAATAGCTGTGTAGTGATTCCATTTACACTTCACTTATTAGTACTGGAGAAACTTTTAGGCACTATTGTGGGATGTACTGAAGAGTTGTCTTAGAATGAACTACTGGGTTCAGAAGATTTTCTGTGCTTGAACAAAGGATGTACTTACGGTTGTTTTCACTTTTGCAAAGCTTTATTTAAGGATACTCACAGAGGCAGGCGATAGAACAAAGCAGAGAGGAGGGTTACTTCACATTGGCTTTAGGCGGTAGCCGCCACTCCGCATAGTTCTCTTGGCCCCCGGAGTGTCTCGATCTCGGGAATGTGATAGCTTGCGCCGGGGCTCTGCGCAAGTTGGAACTCTTGCCAGAGCTGAGGAACTCATCGTAACTTAAGAATGTACATGTACAGCTTATATAGTCTGGAGTAAATAACGTTATCTCGAGCTAGGGATTTGGTTATTTCAAGCTAGGAATTTGGGGATGAGTTGTGATCTAACACACTTGGTGTTTACTACATTCTACTGTATTACAACATTCTACTATCTAGGTTCGTGGTTCGGTCACGCTCACAGAGCAGGAGGCTATGTGCTGCTTCACTGGCTTACTATGGAATCAGCATGCAGAACTCTTGCTATTAGCAAAGCTCTTACTATTACAAGAGTTCTACATGAGGAGACACTCTGGGCGCATCTACACATGAATTTGATCCAGGATCAGTTCACTCATGAATAGGTTATTCATGACTAAATGCTCCCATGCAGGTGTCTAAATGTGCAGGGAAGTGGGAGAAGATTTGCTAATGGCAGCAAATTGCTCTGGCTTCCTGGGACCCTGCTATGGGCCCCTGCTGCCACCAGGGGGGAGCTCGAGGCTCCCCCTGGGTGCTAGCCCAGGGGCTGGCAGGAAGCATCAGGCTGCAACAATACACCCTGCCTCTCGGGGCTGCCTGCTGCCAGTGCAGGAACAATTTCCTCCTGCCCTGCCAGCAGGAAACTCCTAGCCCGGACTCCCCAGTCAGAGGCAGGGAACTTGGAAAGAGCTGCAGGGGAGGGGCAAGTCCCAGCCCCCTGTACCAATCTGCCAATTGGACAGCCAGCAGGAGACTTGGACTTACCCCACCCCTGCAGCTCTTTCTAAGCCCTGTGCCTTAATCACCTGATTGAGGCACAGGGCTAGGACTTACCCCTGATCAGGATAGTTCCCAGCCCCTGCTCTGCAATTGTGGGGTGGATCTGGGGAGCTTGTTCCCCACTCAGCTCCATGTGCACAGAGTTGGGCAGGAAACAGGGTGGGGAGCTTGTTCTTCACTCAGCTCTGTGAGCACAGAGCCAGGTGGGAAACAGGCTGGGGACCCTGTTTCCCACCCAGCTCTGTGAGCATGGAGCTTGGTGGAGCACAGGCAAGGTAGCTTGTTCCTTGCTTAGCTCTGTAAGTGCAGACGTAGGTGGAGGTAACAGGCTGGTGATCACAGGCTGGCGATAAGGATCTCCCAGTGCTGGCCCCTTGACCATGGAGCTGGTGCTAGGAGATTAAGATCTCGCAGCACCCTACTCGCAATCTCAGAGCAAGGAGCTTGGAACTCCCTGCTGCTGGGACAGGGGGACGTAATCTCCATGCAGGCTTTGGTGGCAGAACCCGCCCCAGCAGCAGGCAGCTCCTCAGGCAGGGAGCAGTCTCCCACCATCTGGTAGCCAGCTCATTGGGAGCAGTTTTGCTCCTGGTCAGGCATCTACATGAGTGCTATTGTGCCATTACTAGTAAAATTAAATTTTCTACTTGCATTTGTAGGTAGCAAATTTATTTGTGATTAGCGAGGTTTACTGCTTAGTAAGCATGTGCACATGTAGATGTACATTAGGGTTACATATTTCCAGTTTCAAAAAAATAGGACACCTGTGGGGCAGAAGGGGGTGGCGATAGCGGGGACAGGGATGCAGGTTTCCCTCACTTTACGCTATATATGCGTTCCTGGAAAACGGCGCATGACTTGAATTCATATAAAGGGAACCCATTTTACAATTAACAGCAAATAGGGATGCATTCCAAGACCTCTACTGTACTGACCCCCAGGCCCATTTCTACCACTTTTACAAGACGATTTTGGTACTTACCAACAGCAGACGGTACACACAAGCTCAGGGTGGCAGTGAATGTTACCATACTGGGGATGGCAACTACAGAAACATGTGCTACAGACAATGAGCGAGGAGCACAGATCCACACAGGAGATTATATTTTGGTGCATGTCACTCCCACAATGCACTGCACAAAGCAGCTGACTGTGGGCTTCCACCACATCAATGGCATGAGTGAATTTACCTTGCATATAAGGAATTTTTAGTATAAAAAGGGTCATTGCATAAGAGCAAATTCGCACATACAGAACCTGCATAAAGTGAGGGAAACCTGTATGTCATTGAGGGGTGGGCAGTGGCCCGTGCCCTGCCCCTTCCCCTCACTGAAGCCACAGCCCCGCCCAGCCCTGCTACTGCCTCCTCACTCCTGACCCACAATGCCCTGCCCCCTGTCCTTGCTGATGCCCCTCCCTGCTGACATGCATGCCCCTGCCAGTGCCTTTCACTGTGGGCCCACAGCTCCCTGATACCCTCTTTCCGCACCTTCCCACCCTGTTTGGAGCCCCAGCAGGCACCCATGCATGCACTTATACTCACACACACACATACTCACCTGCCTGCAGCTGCCAGGCCCTGTGTGCAGAGCATATGATGCCCTGGCCTCCAGTCACCTTCCCTTGCTACCCCCAGCCCCAAGCAGCTCCTTGCTGGGGCAAGTCAGGCAGAATAAAATCCTGGGTATTTGCTGATAGCTTAAAAAAATGGCCAGACAGAGATGGGAGGACCCAAAAAAAGGACATGGGTGGGAAAACCCGGACATATGATAACCCTATATACATGCTTACTTCACAGCAAACTACGCTACTGCACAGTAAAGCGTCTCCCCTGATAGTGTAGATGCGCCCTCTGTTTTCCAAACAGCTACCTTCTAAATAAAC